GTTTCTGAACTCTTTTAACTAATGCCAACTTTGTAGATCTGAGAGTAATTCTTAAAACATCCTGTGTGCCTCCTCAGGACTACCCGCACTTTAACACAAACCTGGACACCCGAGAAAACCTGAACTCTGTCACAGCCAGCCAGGTTCCTCAGCTGGCTGTGAGAGCGGGCCAGTTTGCAGGTCACATAGCACTGAGGCTGGTCCATGACCACCTGCTGCAGATGGACCTGAAGAAGTACAACCAGCTCATACGCAGCCACGTGGTTCAGATTAATGGGAAGGTCAAGACTGTTCAGAGGGTGAGTGCTCACCAGTGTCCTTGTAAATGAAGATAGTATTTACCTTGTTGAGAGCAGGGCTGCAGAAATCAGGAGCAACTTGACTGTTGTCGTGTTTTTCATCACTCAACTTAAAAATGATCAGTTTTGAATCAGTTTGTTTTGCCTGGTTACTCCTCTCATCATAGAAGACAAAGCTGTGGTCAGGTCTTGAATGTCCAGCTTACTAACTTGAGTTTGAGGGAGAAAAGTCATCCCTGCATGTTTGTGTGCTTGCAGATGCAGCCCCAGCTGTTGCCCAAAGCTCTGACAGTGCGGTGGTTGATCATGGCCTCTGGCTCCTACAGCCGTGCCTCCAGCGCGCTGGCAGCTGACATCCAGAACAGCGACCTGGAGGACATCGAGATGTGCCGCGTGATCAATGACCGCATCATGACGGTAAGGGGAAAAAACTCAGCCCATCAAGTTTAGTTGATTTCACAAGCTGCCACCTCTGCTTTTGATTAGCTGAAATTACAACTTTAGTGTTGGTTTAACTACCTTTGGATCGTATATTAAATGGGATACATCACATTTTAATCACAGTCAAGTGTAATAGTTGATGTAGTAGTCTTTAGTTGCTGCTTTCTGCTTTTCAGAGGACGGGACTGTCCAATAAATTTGTTGATAACGTTGGTTTTTATCCAGCTCTTTCATGATGTCCGTCTTCTTGCTATAGGTGGAAAGGAACTTCCTGTCACCCTACGTTTCTCCCAGAGACAGCCCCTTCCGTCACATCCTGCTGGGCTCCGGTCCCCACACCCTCAAAGCTCTGACCAACCACCTCGACTCTTTGACGACTGCCAACCCCGACGCAAACGCCGAGCAGTTCCGCAACCAGTTTGCCCAGGCGACCTGGACCATTCAGACCTGTGCCAACTCCCTAGCAGGGGACATCTGGTCTCTGGATAATGAAATCTAGAAAAGTCCTTTTCCCTCCCTTGTTCATGGTTTGGCCCTCTTATTACAACTGGCAGTGCTGTTGTGATTAATCACCACGTTTTCAGCAGATATCTACAAAGTCATCATATCATTTCCACGATGTTAATTTTCCTTTTATCTAAAATTCTCTTAAAGCCAAACATGTTGCAAAGTGGTTTGTAAGCCTTCTGCCTTAAAAGGACTTAACCCTCTAAGAATCTTGAATTTGAACATGTGGTATTTAGTTATCACAGTCTTAAATCACATGGTGCTAGTAATGTCAACAAGTGTTATGTGGAAGTACTACTTTAAATTGGTGTTACCTCTGAATGAGTTGGATTTTTTTTCTTTAATTCCAGAACAGTATCAGGTCAGAATCACAGTAAAGACTGTGTTTGCCAGCTCAGATCTTTAGACCGCAGTATGATAACAATAAGCTAATGACTTTGTATTTGTTTACCACGAGGCAAACTGCTGGTATTTCTGCTACTGCTGCTGCGGCTTGGTGTTCAAACCTGAGCTGGTTTCTATTGGTAGCTAAAATATCCCATACTGTGCTGATTCTGCTACACAACTCAGTCAGAAAATAGATTCAGGCATTCAGCTGCTGAAAGAAGTGCAGATTGATTTACAGCATGCAGCAGCAACAGTGCACACAGATTTGGAATAATCGTCTACTTTAAATGGGGGGAAAAAAAGTTTTAAATATATGCAAGAATTGAAAAAAAATTTTTTTAAAAGGTCTGAATCAAATACGAAACACATTTTTTGGCTTTGGAGCTAATCTGTGCAGACCTGTCAAAGCAGGGGAAAAGGTCCTCAACCATGTGGCACTGAAACAGAAACCGTATGTTTATTTATTGTGTTATTTATTTATCAGTGGCAGGGTTCACTATAAATAGTTTTTATTCACGTTTTATATAAAAAAAAAAAAAGTATAATTATCGGGGGCAGTGTCTTCCATAATTATGACAGTTATACTGTCGAAATGACAAAAGCAGCATCTGCTAAAAGAAGTGTACATGTGCACCGACAGCTGGTACACAACAGTTTTTCTTTCCCCTCTGTCAACTGACACTGAACTGGTCTCTGAGCAATGCCAGCTCACACATCACACCTGACAATATTTACCCGTACCTGTCCTTTGGTGCATGTACACTTCTCATCTTGATGGCATTATCGGGAGCAGTGATTTCCATAATGTGAAAAACAGAAGGTAGTTTTTGCCTACCAGTGTGTGCCGTATCGGAGGCAGTGCCCTCCATATTTCACTGTAGGGGTGGATGTTTTTTATTATCGGGGACAGTGTTTCCCATAATGTGTATATACAGTACAAAGCTACACATCGCACACGTTTGCATCTTTGCAATCCATCTGGCGTTCCATGCTAACTTCTTCAGCGTTCCTCTCTAGACAGGCAGGTTAGCACCCAGAGCACCTGATCACAGATCAGTGTCTGTGTCATTAGTGAGGCCAAGCAGCTGATGCGCTTGTTTTTAGCGAGACGGTCTGTTTTGAAGCGAACGCTGGTCTTTTCTTTGCATATGGAAGGTGTCTTTGCTTTAAGGAAAGCACAAATGTGTAATGTGGTTACAACAGCGTGTCTCCATAATCAGCCCCCACTCTGTGTTATGGAGTTAGTCTAATGAATTAAAGTTCATTGTACCTTCTCTTTTGATGAATTCACTGAGATTTCCTTGTGCCTCTTCTTTTGTTTCTGAGCTAACGAATACTTGGATTGTTTCGTTTTCATGTATCAGGGTTCAGTTTTTGTTTTTTTTGTTGTTGTTTTTTTTCCTGTTTCTCTAAGAATCAAACTGGTGTTAAAACAGAGTTGCTAGACAGAAAACAAATGGATGCGAGTCCATTTCAAATGACTGAAAGCAGGATTCTGTCCAAAACCCATCTGACTGATTGTAGTTCATCAAACTTGTTAACATGATGCAATAACCATTCGTCATTTGAGGGATTTTTACCTTAATCCTGTTGGTTTATAATGAGGCAGGTTCTGGAAATTGCAACTCCATTTTCAGCACTGGCTTGTAAGAATTAGCAGATGAGTTTTGGATCAAAGGGGGAAAATGTAACCCTTGTTAAAGAATGTTTGAAAATGCTCGATTATTATTGTGCGTGGTTTTCTTTTCTTTGTTCTTTTTCCTTTCTCTCAAACTGTGCGCACATTTGCTTTGCTTTATTTCAGTTGTTTTGTTTCATTGCTGCAATAAACAATCACAGCTATTGGAGTCTTAGTTTCATTATTCGTTCTCAATAACATGGACACTTTGTCTTGTTTGTTAGGCTACTAATAAAATTTGGCACTGTATTGTACATTAGCTTATTGCTTTAGTTCTTAAAACAACTACCAGTGACCTTTTTCATTATTCGGTGCCTTGCTTAATGGTGCTGGTGATCATGGTTCTCGTGGTCATCTGGCGTCCTCTTCAGTCTCTAACTCCCCCAATGAGGGTTTCTCTCGTCTTATCAGCAGAGGTGGGTAGTAACCAATTACATTTACTTTTTGGAAAAAAGTAACTTTTTGAGTAGTTTTACTTGAGTAATATTATTATGAAGTATCACTACTCTTGAGAAATAATTCTGGCCATTCTACTCAGTGTGAATAACTTCAGTAAAGGAATAATAAACATGTTTTAACCAAAAATGCATGAGACACAGACACAAACCTACAGTTTATGTTGACATGACACTTCTTGTTTGTACATAAGGTTTGTTGTTTTAATGTTATTCTATCTGCTGAGCCTGTTGTGCCATTTGGAGAGGCAAAGCAACACCATATATTTATATTACCTTCTGTAAATATTCGTTTAATAATGATTTGGAAAAGTGTTTCTTCTTAGATTTATTGTTTTGTAATCATGTTATTTATATATATTTCTTTTTCTGTCTTTAGTGCAAATTTTGGTATTTTAAACATTGTTCTTGTCTGATTATCTAATTTTTTTTTAATATTAAATCAGATGTTATGATCAGTTACTCAATATTCAAGTAGCCTTTTTTCACTGTTGTGATTGGTGAGGGGGTAGGGACAGGCTTAGGGCGTCGGGGGGTTCCTCGGAGGCATCTTCCTTGGGGGGCTCAACCCGGGGTAGCGGTCACATCCGGTTGGGGGCTCTGTTGGCTCTCAGGTGACTGTTTCCTCGCGGCTGCGTGCAGCGGGGCTAGGGGAGGGTCTGTGCTGACAGACGTGGGAGAGAGATAATCCCATACGGTTTATGACAAAATTTAATCCGAAGTGATTGATGGCCCTAATCATGACCTTTTGACCTCCCCCCCTCCCCCCCGGAAGCGAGTAATGACCGTGACGAATTGCATCCGGAGAAGGGGGGGCGGGAACCCCCCGACATCCGGAGAAGGGGGGGCGAACCCCGGAAGCGCGCCATCTGTCGCTAAGCGTGTCGAATTGCATCCTGAGAAGTGGATTGAACATGGAGAAAAAAATTCATCTTATTTCTATAGTCTAGAGAAGCGTAGACAAACAAAGAAAAAAATAACTAAATTGAGTAAAGATGGTACTATAATTGAGGAACCAAACAAAATAAGTGAGGAAATTAACATGTTCTATAGTAATCTGTATAAATCAAGAACTGAAAAAGAAAATGCAGATATCTTTTTTGATATGATTAAAGATCAGGTTAAAAA